TAATTTATTTCTGTGATGCAAAGCTGAATTTCCATCATCATTCCTCCAGTATAAAGTGTCACATGATCTTCAGACATCATTCTAATATGCTGATTTATTATTAGAATTATCAACAGTTGTGCTGCACAATATTTTTTTTGGAAACTACGGTACTTTTTTCAGGATTCTTTGATGAATAAAAAGTTAAAAAGAACAGCATTTATTCAAAATATAAATCTTTTCTAACAATATAAATATTTGCGATCACTTCTTAACAATTTAACACATCCTTGCTGAATAAAAGTTTTAATTTCTTTCAAAAAAAGAAAGAATAAAAATTTACTGACCCCAAACTTTTGAACAGTAGTGTATATTGTTAGAAAAGATTTCTAACAATATATATATATAAAGATATTCCATAACTCGCCCAATAAAAATGTGACAACTTGCTCCAAACACAGATTAATGCTACATTTTCCTAAAAACACAGTTCACACCCACACACTTACTAAATATGGATATACTAGTTATAAATACTATAACCTAATCATAACCCACACACTAACCCTAACAGAAAGTTATATACACTTTTAAAATAATTATAAAAATAAATAAATCAAATAAATAAATTCTTTTTACATTTTAATTTAATAAAACACAATTAAAAAAAAAAATGATCTACTTAATTTTTATACCATTTTTTTTACAAAGACCTCCCCAAAACTAACCAGGTGCTGAAATGTAAATGTGGGCGGAGTCCAAGTGCTCAATAAGCCCCGCCCCCACTCACCTGGTACAGTGAAGTCCTGAGTGTATATGATGTCATCCTCTCTGTTGAACAGCTCGTCATCCTCCTCCTCAGCGTAACCGTGGAGATCCTCCAGGTACGGCACCACCGTCATGCTGCGCCAGGGGTCGCGCGTCTCTGCGCTGGGCGGGATGGGCACGGGAGGCTCCGAGGGCGGGTGTTTCTTACGCACCCAGCTAAACAGGAAGAGGAAATGACCCGAGAGACCGATCGTGATGACATCATCTGAAGCAGAGTTATTAGAGTTTACTAAAACCAGAAGAAACCTTTTTCATTATTTAAAATAAATCTAATTTAACAATTAAAATACAATATATCTGTGAGACCCTGGAGCACAAAAGCAGTCTTAAGTCGCTGGGGTATATTTGTAGTAATAGCCAACAATACATTGTATGGGTCAAAATTATACATTTCTCTTTTATGCCAAAAATCATTAGGATATTAAGTAAAGATCATGTTCCATGAAGATATTTTGTAAATGTAATACCGTAAATATATCAAAACTTAATTTTTGATTAGTAATATGCATTGCTAAGAACTTCATTTGAACAACTTTAAAGATGATTTTCTCAATATTATCTCAATTTAAAAAAATTGACCCTTATGACTGGTTTTGTGCTCCAGGGTCACATATATAAAAAAAACTTGTCTAATATTTATCTTTTTCATTTAGTTTCACACGATGCACTAAAATAACTAAAATTAAAAAATCTAAACTATATAATAAAAAACGAATAAAAAAAATAAAAATACTAAAACTAACAAAACTTAAAATGAAAACAGAAAACAATGAATTCAAATTTTCATTTTCAAAGAATATAAGTACTAAGCAATTATGTAAGATTAATTAATTGATATTAATACAGTAAAAATAGTGAAATATTATTAGAATGTCCAACAGCTGCTCTCTATGTGAATATGTGTTAAACTGTAATGTATTTCTGTGATGCGCAGCTGTATTTTCAGCATCATTACTCCAGTCTTCAGTGTCACATGATCTTCAGAAATCA